ATAATACTTTGCTGTCACAAATCTTGCCACATAACTTCTTTTATAGTCTGCTTGAATCAGAATTTAAATAAGAGCTACGAGTTACCACTGGTTTCTCTGTGTAACTCTGGTTGTCCTGGAACTTCCTCTGTAGACCAGGCTAGCCTCGAAGGCATAGAGGCTCTGCCTCCCAAGTGCTGGGATCAAAGGTGTACACCACCACTGTCCAGCTGAACACTCTTTAATGATTCCTTCACCCTATCGTTTCCTTTTGTGCTTTTTTGAGTGCAGGGGGAGGGGATTTGAACAACCCAGACTTCTGTCTGACCCCGTAGAACACCACGGATTACTACAGTGAGGGGTAGCCATTAGATGGATAAGCAAGAACAGAGAAGTGCAGCTGAACAATGGAAACTTGTAATCATCACCAAGGTTAAGGTGAATTTTTAAAAAGTTACTAATTTTTAAAAATGTTTATATTTATTTCTAACTATATTTATGTGTATGGGTGTTTTGTCTGCGAGTACTATGGTGGGGCTAGAACTCTCAAAGGTCAGGAGAGCTTCCCAGATCCTCTGGACCTGGAGTTACATACAGTCGTGAGCTGCCATGTGAGGACTGGGAATTAGTAGATACAATGACTAATGCTCTTAAATGCTGAGACAGCAATCTGAGGCCCTGGGTAAAGCTGTTGTTTTTGTTTGGTTTTCGGTGTCTTATTCCAGAAGTGGGATTACTGAATCCCATTGTATTTCTACTTTCAAGGATGTTTCTTAATGCTACTTATAGTAAATATGAACTTTCACACTCCCACCCCAAAGTATACAGTTCCACGTTTTCCACATTTTCTGCAAGCTCATCAATACATCTGTGTTCTTCTCATTTTTCATACTGGCAAGGGGAAGGTAATATCTATCAGTGGTCTGATTTGCATTCCCCTGATGATTAAAACATCTTTCGATATGCTTGTTAGGTTGTTGTAGGTTTTTTTTTTTTTTTTAGAGAAATATCTCAAGACAACTACCCACATTTTGTTTGTTTGTTTGTTTGTTTGTTTGTTTGTTTGCTTGCTTGCTTGCTTGATTGTTGCAACAGGGTTTATCTGTGGCTCAGGCTGTCATGGAACTTGATTTGTAGACCACACTGGCCTCAAACTCAGAGATCTATCTGCCTCCTGCCTCCTGCCTCCTGCCTCCTGCCTCCTGCCTCTCTGCCTCTCTGCCTCTCTGCCTCTCTGCCTCACTGCCTCTCTGCCTCTCTGCCTCTCTGCCTCTCTGCCTCTCTGCCTC